TGGGCAGGAGATGTGAGGCGTACAGAGAATTTCGCGTCCTATTTACAGGGCTAATGGTAACTACTTCTCAACTTCTAAAGATACAATCAACCAAAGGACGAATAATAGTTAAGCTAGCTTCACGTTGAAATAATGGTGTCCTTTGGGCTAATCAGATGTCAATGTAGCCTTCATAAACCCAACCTCACTCCGAATTTTACTATCACATCCAGCTTGTGTAAGAAGAGTTACTTTAAACTATTCAATGTTACTTCGGTAGTCTACGCAAAAGAGTGTGGAAGCTGATCGATGTCTAAATGTGTTGTTGACATGATAGCTCAGCTGAATGGAACGCAGCCTGTTACCAAAGCTAAGCAGGGTATATAGAGGTAGAGGTAGGAGTCAATGTTTAGGCAGTAATCGTTGGACTGTGGATTCACATTTTATTTCAATATACCTCTTATACCTTCTTTCAGTATAAGATTTGAAATAGTATTTGAACCCAGGCCTGCAGAGCTCTGGCGTAGCCCACCCAGGACATTAGGGATTCTGGGTAGTGGAGCCTGGTGCTGACAACTCTTCCATCGGTGTGAATTCTCACCGTTCCCATGGCAAACATGGCGGGCCGACAGCCACACACACACACACACACAGTCTTCTTTGCCCCCGCCAGGACAGCATTCCCCACATCCCCAAGAAATACCCCCCCCTCCCTCCCCGCTCCCCGTCTCCCCAAAATAAAGCAATGATAGCCGAAGCCAAACTAGGGAAACGCGGCGCAGTGCCGTGCTCATTTACTTTCAGTATGAATCAATCCATCTGTTTAGTTATTTATATATAATGATTTATTATTCTATTTACGCTTTCCCCGTTTTTTATGGACCTCTACTTGTGATCTCATCATTGTGTTGAATTTCCCAGCTGTCTGTGTACTATCTGTATGGAGAATTAGACATGTCAGTACTGTACATAGCACACAGAGGTATTTTGACCTCACCTCAGCAGAGAGAATCTTAGTCAATGCTAGGATACGGTTATGAGGTAAATGCTATGCCTTGACTCACTGGAAATTAACTTTTGATGTTATGTCATAAACGTCTTACTTACTTGAGTACCTGCCTCGTGCACAAATGTGATTTGGTTCTGGGTTTAGAGGTTAGTATACCAGTATCCATCACCTCTCTCTCTCTCTCTCTCAATGCAATGCAACACGTACTGTGCGGGTCACACACACATCGCATAGAGATGTGGTGGCCAGGGAGGATGAGGGGAGTCTGTATGGCGGTGTGTTACCCGACCGAGAGGCCTGCCGACTGGGCAGCACAAGGAGGAAGGTTGGGCCCCCCTGGAGAGGACATTACCAGTCAGGGTGTGAGGTTCTGGTCCTACTAATCTTGGAACCCAGAACCAAGTCTTGTGTGCCCTAGCTAGCCTGAATCAAATCGCCTGCAGAATCCAATCGAGAGCTGGCTTGAATCAAATCGCCTGCAGAATCCAATCGAGTAGCTAGCTTGCGCCATTTCATTCTGGGGGTGGGGAGTGTTCAAACCTGAGCTAACTGACTGTGAGGCCTATCTCAGTGTGTGATTTGATGTTTGCTCACAGATTGTCCTTCCAGAGACAGGGAGAAGGCTTATGCCGGGAGAGAGACTTCCAGAAAGAGGGCTTCGAGAGAGACTTCCAGAAAGAGGGCCTGGGGAGAGACTTCCAGAAAGAGGGCCTGGGGAGAGACTTCCAGAAAGAGGGCTTGGGGCGAGACTTCCAGAAAGAGGGCCTGGAGAGAGACTTCCAGAAAGAGGGCCTGGAGAGAGACTTCCAGAAAGAGGGCTTGGGGCGAGACTTCCAGAAAGAGGGCTTGGGGAGAGACTTCCAGAAAGAGGGCCTGGAGAGAGACTTCCAGAAAGAGGGCTTGGGGCGAGACTTCCAGAAAGAGGGCTTGAGGCGAGACTTCCAGAAAGAGGGCTTGGGGAGAGACTTCCAGAAAGAGGGCCTGGAGAGAGACTTCCAGAAAGAGGGCTTGGGGAGAGACTTCCAGAAAGAGGGCTTGGGGAGAGCTCTGCAGCCTGCCTCCTCTCACAGCAGCAGGAACAGGACTATACTGAGAAAATGTTTCCCAAAGTACGTGTCAAACCACACGCACGCACGCACTCACACACACACACACACACTTAATGGGGCGCTGAGAGGTAAACACACCTGCAGGAGGGATAGCGTCATCCCCTGCCCTGACCCTCTCCCTCACACACACACACACACACACACACACACACACACACACACACACTGCTGCTGCGGTCTGATGATGTCTTGACCATCCTATTGGAGGGCTATGCTTCCCCCTCATCCCAGACCCAAACCCAAGCTTGAGTCTCAATCCAAGAATGGCAATAACAGTCAGCTTTAAAGGAATATGTAGGATTTGGAACGCTTGTGCCAAAAACCGTCGTGGATGTTTATTTTTCAAAAATAGCCATAATGATTCATTCTGTCCC